GATAGTTGCTTTCAACTACCTGAAAGGGGGTTCCAAAGAGGATGGATCTAGACTATTCTCAGTGGTATCAGATGACAGACCATGGAGTAATGTTCTCAAGTTGCAGTGGGGGAGGTTTAGGTTGGATATTAGGAGAAACTTTTTCACTAGGAGGGTGGTGAAGCACTGGAATGGGTTACCTAGAGAAGTGGTGGAATCTCCTTCCTTAGAGGTTTTTAAGGTCAGGCTTGACAAAGCCTTGGCTGGGATGATTTAGTTGGGAATTGGTCCTGCTTTGAGCAGGGGGTTGGACTAGATGACCTCCCGAGGTCCCTTCCAACCCTGATAGTCTATGATTCTATGATCAAGATGATCAAACAAAGAAAACTTCAGTTTGTGGGACATGTGGGTTGAAGGAGCGGAGGAAGATTGCCAAAGCAAGTGTTGTAGGGGCTGGACCCAATGGCTGGAGATGCCCAAAGGGGGCACTCAATGTGGCTGACTGTGGGATGTGGGATGGTGTGTTTCTCACAGCTGTGTGAAGTCTGCCAAACGTGAAGGAAGACTGCTGGCCAATGACTCTCAGATATTGTGTGTGTTGCTCATTGCAATGTGAGTCTATGGTACTTTGCACTATGAGATAATGTACACCTCTACCTCGATATAACGCAACCCGATATAACACGAATTCAGATATAACACGGTAAAGCAGTGCTCCGGGGGTTGGGGCTGCGCACTCCGGTGGATCAAAGCAAGTTCAATATTACGCGATTTCACCTATAACGCGGTAAGATTTTTTGGCTCCCAAGGACAGCGTTATATCGAGGTAGAGGTGTATGTGGGTATGTGTTCCTTGAAACAGGAGTGCTAGAAATGCAGCAGTGTTCTATTCCTTTTAAATATATTGTGCCAAAGTGGATGAAAATTATGAGTAAACAAAACAAAATAAAAACTACTTTGGAAGAAAGGAGATGCAGAAGGGCCCTGCACATGTGGAGGAAGGTTTATACAGTAGCATCCCATGGCATAAGCACCAGCCCCACCCCTCTGTGGCTCCTACATGGAATCTGAGCACCGTGGAGCTAGGTGGCTAGCTAAGTGGATAGGAGGTGTACTCATAAGACAGTCTCTAGGGGTTTTTTTTTCTTGGGCAGCTCGGAGCAGAGATAACACCATAGCTTGACAAACTATCCAGAACATATGGTGGGTAGCAGGTGAAAGAAAAAACAGTGGCAGCGTGCCAGGGTAGACTGCTGTTCTGTCTGTGTGGTAGGGGTATTTTAGGGGAAAAACATGCTGAGATCCACAAAAACTGGTTTTATTTTCCCTCATGGATCCTCAGCCTCTGCAAGAAGAGATGTCTATGCCCCTGCTGAGCATTCCATTCTGCCCCCAAATGTTCCTGGAGGGATGATGTGACAAGCAATAACTCAAAAAAGTCCATGCAGTGATATGGATCAGTGTTTCATTTCATACAGGCCATCAGACTCACCAAGGAATCTGGCTCAAAACAGGGAGCATATGTCCATTAATGTCTGCTCATGGCCATGGTGTCCAATTGCTGGGAGAGATTTTTGTTATGGAACAGTGGGCATGAACATCTTACACTAGAGACTATCTCAACAAACAGTTTTGATCTTTGTGGATACCAGGGCTTTCATAGCATTACAACTGGAGATTCTATTATATTTAAACTTCAGTGAACAGCCTACTTCTTTGTGTCTTTCTGCACTTTTTCTGTATTCCCCTGTGTTTGGATACATATTTTATTCCTATGTTTTCTCTCTTCATTTATATTTGGATGTTTTCTAAGTTCACAATAGGGAAATTGTTAAGCTGTAATAAAGTTAAAAAACACTAACCTGTTGGAGACTAATTAACTATAGATTTAGTGCATACTGGAAATTTTCTGGATGATTTGATTGCCATTTATTTTAATTATAGTAAACCTTTTTAAGTGACCACTCGGGAAACAAAAATAGCTTGTGGCAGTCTTCTAATAAAACCTGAGCAGAACATATCCCATTATATCTGCAGATGTTTTGGAGCTGCCTCTTAAGACAGGAGGTTACCTAAAAAGAGTGGTCTTGTGTACTGGCTTCACAGTAGTTATCTAGAATCAAGCATAAACAAAATATAAACTAAAATGAAAGTGGTTTCTAATTTATGTACTTAGTTATTTGTACATTCATATTTTAGCTGTTGTCTTATGTCTAAACAGAAAATTTCAGTGATGGTATTTTAAAAATACTAAATAGATCTGTGTCTCATGTTATGTTAGCACTTAAAAATTTAACCTCAATATACTAAACTGTGGCTGAAATTTTCAAACTTTGTTCCCAGCGTTAGGTTCCTTAGTCTGAAAAATCTGCCACTATTATTTAAAAGCAGATCATTACTTATAATGCTCTAGATGCAAGGACTCTGAAGGCAGGTAGTTGAGTTATGACTATCTAATGTCCTCTGTTTTATTTAAAAAAATACAGACACATGTGCCAGGATGTCTCACTGCAGAGCTGGTGTTCTGACCTGAAAGACATGACCTCAACACAAAAAGAGCAGTTGAACACCAATAGTTATTTTGGATGCTAGAGAAGCTTGTTCTCCATTGAAAAGTTCTGATCATGTGATAGTACTGGAATCACAATGCCTGCTGGGATTCACAGACCTGCCCAGATTCATTTTACCTAGGTTTGTTCGTTAACCAGAGTTACACACTGGAACAATGCAGACAAAGGTGACACTTTCCACTATTTAGTGGCATGGTTCCTTAGTGAGGAAAGAATAGGAATAAAGACATGAGGTGGATTTATGCATTATTGAACTCCTCATTTATCCCATTTCTGCAAAGAGATTCATAGGAACACAGGGGTCCTTCCACACAGATTCCTTTTCAGGATCAGTGCCTGCTTTTAGCTTAGTCAATACACTCATGTATGGGGGTCACGTGTTCTTTACATGGGACAACACGGGTGTCAGGATGAAGTGCACATTTCAGTCATGTGTTTTGCTTCCAGTTTTATGGTTATTATAAACCAAGCCTCCTCCTGCTGAATCCCCTGCCCATCACAAATGCCCAATGACATCAGCGGGAGCTCTAAGGCCCTAAATCCTACAAATCACTTAAGCATGTGCTTAATTTTGGGCACACAGATCAATTTGTGACCCTGTTAGTCCCATCAGTGAACATTTACTCTCATGAATAGTCCCAGTGAAGACAATGGATGCTACTTGTGTGGCTAACTTCTTATGAGTGGGAATAAGGGGCTTGCAGTCTGACCCATAATTAGCCACGTTGATTACAATGGGACTGCTTATGTGCTTAAAGTTAAGCACATGCTCAAGTGCTTTACTGGATAGGGGCCTAAGTATGCCAGGAATACAAGGTCAGACACACCCTCTAATTCATCTTGCACTTGTGACCAGTTATTTACATAAGGATTTGTAACTGCTCAATAGAAGTTTACATATTTGAAAGTTTTATGTGTAAGAAATTTAATGAACATTAGCATTTTTGCACTGATTTTCCATGTAACTCTGATACATGAATCTCTTATGAAAATGTACATGTAAAGAATGAGATCCTGCAAAGTAATCTTGGTGGGAGGAGACTCCTAGTTCGTGTTCTGACTTCGGCTGGACTTTACCAATTAGCAAGTGGTAATGATTACTTGAAGGATGAGGCCCTTAAATAGTATCACATACTGAAGAGGTAGCATTTTATGAGACGCCAAATAATCACTGAGACACAGTTGCTTTTCTGTTCTGCATTTTGTTGCTGTTTGGTTTCATCCACTCTCACTTTATCAGTCCAAAACAGGAGCTCACAAGTAAGAGTCTCCAGCACAGTTCACGTGCAATTTTCAGAAATGACGTGAAGGAACATTTCTTGGAACATCTAATCCTACATCACACATTTTTACTGGTAGTTGTTCCTAATGGCATTGAATACTTTTTTGTACCCTTTCCCCCAAGAGATCTTGGAGTCATTGTGGATAGTTCTCTGAAAATATCCACTCAATGTGCAGCGGCAGTCAAAAAAGCGAACAGAATGTTGGGAATAATTAAGAAAGGGATAGATAATAGGACAAAAAATATCATGTTGCCTCTATATAAATCCATGGTATGCCCACATCTTGAATGCTATGTGCAGATGTGGTCGCCCCATCTCAAAAAAGATATATTGGAATTGGAAAAGGTTCAGAAAATGGCAACAAAAATTATTAGAGGTATGGAACGGCTTCTGTATGAGGAGAGATTAATAAGTCTGGGACTTTTCAGCTTGGAAAAAAGACAGCTAAGGGGAGATATGATTGAGGTCTATAAAATTATGACTTGTGTAGCGAAAGTAGATAAGGAAGTGTTTACTACTTCTCATATCACAAGAACTAAGGGTCACCAAATGAAATTAATAGGCAGCAGGTTTAAAACAAATAAAAGGAAGTATTTCTTCACACAATGCAACCTGTGGAACTCCTTGCCAGAGGACGTTGTGAAGGCCAAGATCATAACAGAGTTAAAAAAAGAACCTATTAATTATTTTCATGAAATGCGGAATATTTTGGAAGGGACTGTGGTCCAGTGATTAGCGCAAGGCACTGCAATTGTCTTGTTGTATGATCTTCAGAACATTTTACCTCCTTGGGCCCCAGTTTTCCCATCCTCAAAATGAGGCTAATGATACATATCCATAATTATAAAGTGCTTTGAGATCTATGGATGAACATCACTCGGTAAGTGTTAAATATCATTATATGGTCCTTATAATTTAAGCATTACTAAATAACTACACGGCTCAGAACCTGTTTTTACATGTGATTTTGCCATTCAGTTGGTAGTTTTATAACTCTCATATGCTTTGCACAGTTCACTTTGAAATTCAGTGTATGAAATTGACTTCTGAAAGTTTCATATCCTGCATGATGTGTTAGCCATTTTCAGCAGATAATTTATTACTTGGGCTGCTTCTTATTGGCTGATTAGAACCTCAGGAAGCCACAGGGGCAGAGAGATAGCGAGTTTAGTCTGTTGCCTGTGAGTATAGAATCACACATAGCTTGCTGGTTGGAGGGAACAAAGTGAGGAGTTTTGGTTTGTTTTCTGGGTGTTTTTCTCTGTGGTTAGAAATGAAGATGTGCAAAACTATACTTCCTTGTATTCTATTATTGTCAGGTGAGTGAACATTTTTGTTCTTTTTACTTCTTTTCTTGCCAGTTACAAATCGCTTTTGCTTCAACTTGTCTCCTGATTTTATGTAGACATACCTAGATCCCTATTACATATGAGTTAAATATCAATAACATACTGATGTTTAACTGCTATGTATTAATATATTGTATTACTAGAACTATTGCTGCATATATAAGTAAGTGCACGTCATTTAGATATGAAGCACTTGTCTTCATGTTCCAAGAGCTTTGTCCCCCCCACTAAATTGTAAATCCCAAAGTGCTGTTGATCACAGTAGTGGGAGTTGTAGTCTCTTGCTGTGAAAAAACATGGTCTCTCCCTTTGTGAGCTTTCATGAGTTTTCCAACATCCTTACTACTGGTGTTATTAGGACTTGCTATTTTGGGAGTTTGCAAGGAGTATTTGGTGTGGGGAGGAGGGAGGCAGTGGCCCTGCCGTAAGCCATGTCTAATGAAAGATTTTTAAATGCAATGCTTGAAACGTGATTGTATTTGGTGCAACTGAAAATTAAGTAGCTTTTATCCCCTGAATTTTAATCAAGTTTTTGCCTCCTTGATTTGATAGGGCAAGATCCTTCCATCTGCTGTGTCGGTGCATATGAGGTGGAAAGGGAGCTTACTTTCCACCTCGTCCCTCACCTACAAATGCAGTAGTATTGCAGGAACTCTACTTAGCCCTCTGATAGGTGCTAGGAGGGGAGGGTGTCCGTCTGATGCACCAGACTAACACATGGGAATATGGTCTCCTTTTTAGTGCACATACTGCACTGGAGCACGTGCTAGCTGAGAGTTCATGCTGTTCCTTTTCAAAGGAGTAGGTAGGTGCACCCAATTACACCTCCTTCAGGACTACCCCATGGAATTGTGTTCTGGCTAGCAAGATACTTGTGAAACAAGATGTGTGTGCCAACACTCTTACCCTCCTTTGCAGCATTGACAAAACAATATTTTGCTCTAACTACTGAACAACATAAACAGACTGCAAATGGGTGTAGCATATTCTGAATCTGGAGATCCACAACTGTTATCTGGTATCTCAACTAGGGAGGTAGAGTCCTTGCCTTCCCTTATTGCAATCTCATAGACACACCACTCTGTGAATTATAAGTGTGATATCTGAGGATCCTGAAATAGCTCAGGAAGAACTTTCTAAATGGGAAGACATCTCAGGCAAGGCAATAGGAGTTGATTAGCATGTACACTAGAGGATGCTATTTTTTTTACTTAATTGTCTATCCAAGAAACTTTGCTGCAACAACCTAGCCCCATAAGCCATTTCAGAATGTATAATTCATGTGTGGGACTTCACTCACTGCCATAAAGCATGGTTTGTTTTGTTTTTAATATCACGACTTAAATATTTTTAAGATGCATCCACATAATGTTGCAGCAATTTACAAAGTTCCTTCCCTTCCATCACACTGGTATCCATTAAAAAGTCATATTAATGGGTTTGAGGCTTTTTTGTTTTGTTTGTCATGAAAAAAGTTATACAGTACTTATTGACAAAGGAGAACAGTTCTGAATGTAATCGTATGTTTGAAAGTGTAGAAAGATTTGGGGAAAGGGGTATTGTACATTAACCAATGTTTCCTAATTATATTGTACATATACTAACATAATTTTTCTCTATTCCACCAAATGGGTGAGAAATAAACTAAGCTGTCTTCTGTGGCACATGTATATTTCATCAGTCACTTTATCTCAGAAGTTGAGTGCATTAGTTGGAATCACTGCCGTCAGTCAAATTCCCATGTTGGAGTCAATGCTTCTGGTTTGGGAGGGTGACACTAAAATGGAGAAATTGACAAGATTCATGAAAAAAACCAGCACCATAAAAAGATTCTAATGTATTGTCCAATGGGAATTTTTCCTTCTAGAAATCACTTTCATGTTGTTTTCTTGCACATTTTCCCCAGTAGAGGTGAAAAGTATGTTACCTAGCCTTATTAATGGAAATAGCACCTTGGCTACACTCTAGTAGTAATTTTGATGTCAGAATATTGAGAAGTAAACCTAAATGTACCTAAGATTTTATTTTAAAATGTATATTTGTTATTTCATTCTGTAACTGACGGCAGAGTTCTGTTCTGAACTTCTGTCACTGAATGACTTTGTTGCCCTGGACAAGTCATTTAAACTTTCTGTCTGGGCCTGATTATCAACTTCCTTATACCACTGACTCCAATGGAGATTTAAACTTGTGTAAATAAGAGAAAAATCAATCCCTCAACTACTACACTGATAAGCATGGCACATAGACCTTCTCCATTAATTACACCATCATAAAATGGAGTAATGATATTTGCCCAACTTTTTTAAAGTCTTTGAGTTCTAGCTAATCTACTGTACCTGTCTCAGAGGTTTCTATAGCACTTATGACTACAGTATTTAAGAAACTCACCACATGAAAAGTACTAGATGAATGTAAACTATTATTAATTTGTGAGAAATATTTTGATTACTTACTTAGCTTTAGAAGTGACATGCACCAAAACAGGAATCTGATTGTGGTCCCGGAATTTCCCCAAACATGGCAATACTTGTCAATAGCTCCAATGTTTGCAATGTTTACAATAAAAGTGGAAAAAGATGTAATTTATTCTGTACAAAAAGTGGAAGTGAACTAAGATAACTTGCAGTATCAAGTTGTGATATCATCACAATGATGGCTAGATACCAGCCACTGTTTTGTCTTATTGCTTAATTTTCCATTAGTTTGTAATAATGCACTGCACATATAATTCAGAGATATTGCCATGACTGAAGCATGCTAAAATGTAACAAAGCTCTCCCCAATATTTAAACTCAATGCTATGCCAATATGTGATATACATCAATATATTTTAAATTACATCCAAAAAACTATATTAAAGGAGCATTAAAATTATAATGTCAAGCACTCAAAAATTAGGAAATACCAGAGTTCAGGTTACCTGCGCAACCTTAATTTAATTTAATTACATGATAACATACCCTTTTCCCCCTACCTCATTCAGTGAATGAGAAGTTACTCAATATTTCTTTTCATCGTCTTCATTGAATGTGTGGCCATTATTTAAATGCACTCCATTCAGAGCCTGCACTGAGCACAAAATGAATTTCCATAGGGACTTTTCTGTGGTACTCATCATTATAGTATCAGTGTGAATTTATTTTCACAACACCCCTGTGAGATTAATACCCCTGTTTTACACATGGGGAACTGAGTGATTAAGGCCAAAATTGTCAAGTACCCACTAATTTTGGGTCCCCAGCTTGAGATACCTAGGCCTTGATTTTTCAAAGTACTTAGCATTATATAGCACTTTATACGTTCTAAGCACAGCTCCCATTGACTTCAGCTGTAGTCATAAGTGCTCAGCACTTCTGCAAATCAGACCCCCTGAGTCACATTGGGCACCCAGAAAATGAGGAACACACTATTAGTGACCACCTGTGAAAAAATTAGTTTAAATGACTTCTCCAGCATCACATAGGAAGACAGGGATAGAATCCAATTCTCTAGGGTGGTATTCAGCTTCTTTAGCTATGAGACCATCTTTTCTCTTCTGGTAATCTCCCGCTTCATTCACCTTCCCAATTCTGCAACAAGAGGCCAGGGTCTTACAGACAACAGCTTCATTCACTATACAGCTCTGATTCATCATCTGCTCCCCTCCCAACTCCTTCTCCCTTCCCCTCTCTGCTCCTATCTGACCCCCCCTGGTCCTGACCCTCTACCTCTCGGTGCATATATGCCATTCCAGATCCCTTCCCTCTGCTCCTGTCTACCCTCATCAGCTCCTGACCACCTGCCCCTCTGCTTCTTCCCACCTCTGGCCCCTGCAACCTGCTTTTCAGCCCCCACATCATTCCTCACCCTTCTTCACTATTCCAATCAGGCTCATCTCCTTCTCTTCCACTCTGCTTGCTTACCATCAGGGGAGGCATTAAGGCTGCGCTTTCATTAGGAAAAAAGCTGTGTTCTTAACTTGAGCGCACTAACTTGAGAGATAAAATTCTAGGGAAGACACAAGTTTTTACTGTTTTTACACGTTAACAGGTCGAGTTAAAGACTAGAAGCTCACAACACCAATCTCCTTATGTACTCTTAATCCCTACCAATCAAAATAAAAAATTCTGTCCCAAGCAGTTTTGACCCCCAAAAGGGAGAAGTGTCAATGACTCCATGAAATCTATCGGGGCTTTGTTATGGCTATTGATTTTACGTGGTAGGAACTTAGTTTTTATACTGCTGCCTATTACCATAGTATCTAAGATAAAAAGTTTCCCAGTTTAGAGATGGGGATCTGAGGCCCAGAGGTCCAGATCAAAGGTATTTAGGCACTGATCTGCCGCTTTAGGTGCCTAAGTCATGCTGGCACCATAGCATATAGCTGGGTCTAGCGGTGCTGGGGCACAATGCTTCTTGGAGACAGTAAGGCAGATGGGCTCCAGCTACAGCCTTCAAAAGGGGCCAGCCTGTGCTTCTGCCTATATCAATGCAGATCTGCTGGTTGTGGCAGAAGGTGGAGGAAGACATTACATAAGAACATAAGAATGGCCATACTGGTTCAGACCAAAGGTCCATCTAGCCCAGTATCCTGTCTGCCGACAGTGGCCAATGCCAGGTGCCCCAGAGGGCATGAACCTAACAGGTAATGATCAAGTGATCTCTCTCCTGCCATCCATCTCCACCCTCTGACAAACAGAGGCTAGGGACACCATTCCTTACCCATCATGGCTAATAGTCATTAATGGACTTAACCTCCATGAATTTATCCAGTTCTCTTTTAAATAAGAGAGTTTAACCAAATACGTTTTTTTCATGTTTATAAGTAAAATACATGGCGACAGTTGAAGATCATCAATGACAAAACTCCTGTTGACTTTACTAGGGGCAGGATTTCACCCCAGGTAGACATTTAACTATTTCAAACATAGATTGATTTAATTTTTCATGCAGTGATGTGAGGTGAATCTTTCTCATCGCATTACTCACTATAGATAACATTGTATTTGATGTACATTATATATGCATTGTTTTACTTGTCTTCCTATACAATATCTTTTATATTTGACTGCCATTTCAATAACAAAATATAATAACTTACCACGACATTCTTTTTCTACTTCTTTTCCCTCATTATGTTTTTTGTTCTCTCTCTGGCTCTCTATTTCAATGTAGTCCAATGTTTGTTTTCCCTCTGGTTAACTTTTCCTTCCTTCTACTTACGTAAATTTCTCTCTTCTTTCATCCCTTTTCTGTTCTTCATAAAGAGGAATCCCCTTGTGCATACACTGAATGAGGCAGGGGGTCTTGTGGAAATAGTAATGTGTGATTACAGTGTGTATCATGCTGCTTACACACAAGGAAGATGAATTCAAGTTAGACAGGCAACCTGACTTCTGGTATTTCCTAACTTTTACAAGCTTGACTTTGCACCTTTAACATTCTTTTAACATAGATTTTTGTATGTAGTTTCCTGTACTCTTAAAAGCCCAAACAAACAAACAAACAACAATAACAAAACTATCATGTGGAACAATACTGACCCTCCTATTTGTCATTAGCAGGGTTGTAACCTTTAGGCCACAGCATAGAACTCTAACATATGAACTAATGGAATAACTGGTAGCAGTAATAGGTTGTTATCTTCTATGTGAACCAGCCACTAGATGGGATCAGACACGCACTTTGCCAGTCGTTTTTACAGCTATTTGTTAGACAGCAATGGAATGATGACGTAAGGAAATCCTGGGTTCTAGTCAGAGGTTTATAACTCAGCCAGATTTAGGCAGATTTTCATAGGAAGGGCAAAAGGCACAACCCCAAAACCAGTGTGAATCTATTCCAAATATCAAGTCCTTGCACCAAAGAATGGAGGTGCTAGCCCATCTAGGAGAAAAGGATGTAAGAATATTTTTCACAGGGGTAAATTGTTGTTTAAATGGGTAAACCAATTTAGCTGAAACTTTCCAAAAAAACTCAGCCTTAATCATTAAAGTTTGGCAAAGTTATAAGCAGCTGAAACCAGAGTCTTATAAGGAAAGTGTCAGATAAAGTTAATAAAAGGCAGTGCTACCAGCCCCACCAGTGATAAATAATTTTTTTCTTTTAATATTATGTATCCACAAGATTTAGTGGTCATGATGGCAGCGGAGGAGACGATTGTCCCAGACGTGACGGTGAATACGGTGGCGCCCGTCACGGTGGTGACCGTCCCAAACACGATGGGGGAGACGGTGGCGCCCGTCACGGTGGTGACTGTCCCAGATACGCCAGGGAAGACAGTGGCGCCCGTCACGGAGGCTACCATCACAGAGGCGACCCTCGCAGACACACCGGGGAAGACGGTGGTGCCTGTCACAGAGGCGACCGTCCTAGGCATGACGATGACCATAGTGCTTGGACATAAAAAAATCTCAACTTCAGGGCTGCCATCAGTAAAAAGCTTCTCAAGTTCTACAATGAAAATAAGTAGAGAATCAACGTTCTTTTTCAAGTCTACTGCTAAACAACTAACTTTGGAGGACAAGAAGTTAGTCAGATCAACCTCTACCAACCTGACTTTTGGGCCAGGTCTGTTATTTTAATTCATTATTTCCTTACAATGTTGAATCCGTTCTCCCCTCATTGTGCATATACTAGTCCTGTTACGGCACTATTTTCTGCTCTCCTTGCCACTCCTCCAGTGATGGACTCTTGCAGATTTCCCCCTCAAAGCAGATTTCTCCCTCAAAGTCACATTGCTTAGACAGAATTTTCTTTGCCCATTCATCCTTGCTAGTGCAATGGAGATGGTACAAGGCTCCTTTTCTTAACTGCTGTTAAGACCTGCTGCTTAAATCACCATCCAAGAAGGTGCCATGGAGTTAAAATGCCTGCACTTCAGTTTTAGAGATTCAGCAAAGATCTTGCTATCCCCAGTTTCAGAAAATGCAGGGCTCAGTCCAGGTTTAAGCTAAGCAGTCCTTTGCGGCCTGATGCAGCTGCTGTTATATCAAGGTAATTTTGGCCAGAGTGTACTTGCTGGCCAAAGAGCTAATAATGCCTCAGTGATTTGATTTAAGGAAGTAACTGCAGTATTATAAACCTCATTGAGACTGAATTAACATTACTGGTTAAATTATTTTAACATTGTTGGACTAAATTTTTCAAATATTAATATTTTGATTACAACCCCCTGAAAATTTCAGACAAATTTTTATTGACTCTTTTGGAGGGAGTTGGGGGGGTTGACCAGCCATAGACTAGTATGACATTTTTCTATTTCTAAAAAAACCCACCAAAAAAACAAAATTTAAACATTAAAGAAGTAGAATTTTTAATTGCTCATTTTCAGTGGCTTTTCAATCAGTCCTATTTTTAAAATTGTTTTAATTCTCTAATTTTAGAATAGTTAGGGAAAAATACCCCCATCCTGCCAGCATGCAGGAGGAAAAAGCCAGGTACATGGATGGGTGGGGTAGGGGGAGGTATGCGAGAGAGAGGTAGAACTATAAATGGTATTCCCATTCCATGTGTATGTTCAAGAGTTCAAAACTTTTTGCCATTTTGAATCAGGATGAAAAGTTGAAATCTTAAAAATGTTATGAACCAAAAATTTGATTCTTTTTTCCAGTTAGTCAAAATGTTACATTTTGCTCTTTTTTTTACCTCTTTAAAACTCTAATTATCTTACATTTCAAAATAAACATTTTGAAGCTGGAAGACAAGAAATTTTCATTTCATGAAACATTTTGACAATTTTGATTTTTTTTTCTGTCTCCATTTTTTGGAGTAGGGAAATTTGTTGAAACAGACCCTGTTTTGCAAACAGTTTCTGTTCCAGCATTTCAGGAATTCTTCAACAACAAAAATTTGTCTAAAAATTCCCAACCAGCTCTAGTGTGTGTGCATTCTCTCTTTCTCCCTTATCACAACCCGAGGAAGCAAATATGACGGAAATATGAACAAGTATAACCTAGGCACAGACATCTACCTTAGTGTACAGATAGCCTAAAGCAATATTTCTGAGCGTTGTGAACTGCCTCTTTCATCTCTTCGGTGGGTTAGCTCAGATGCTCAATATTGATAATTTAAATACTAAGCTTTTAACTTGTTTTGTCACCAAACAAAGAGAGGGACAAGGACTGCTCAGCCTAATGTGAGGGACGTGTCTGTTTGGTGCCATGAATGGGTGTCACTGGAGGTATTACCAGCATTTGTCTCCAAATTTATCCATGGAGCCAAAAGGCCAGAAGTGGAGTGGATTCCAAACAGAATCCCACACCTCACTGAAGAGAGCCAATCCTGCAGAGCTAGCAGAATGTTCACACCTCACCAAGGAGAAGCCAGTTCTACAGGTCTAGCGGGGCATCCAAGCCTGTCCCTAATCAGACTGACTCCCAAAGCATACTTGGTCTGCTTTCATGGTGGATGTGAGGCCAGGCAGCTTCCTGGCAGTTTCTCCTCCCTCTATGCAGATTCAGGCAGACATCACTGTGTTGATTATATTCTGGTCACATGTTCAAGCTTCTCTGTGCAACCATCAATTTTAAAAATGAAAATGTAGAATCTAAGCCAACACAGGAATTTAGTAATGAGCCCTCAGCCTGTGCCTCTTGTGTCTAGCCCTTCATCTGGCTCACAGAAGGCAGGAGATAGCAGCAGAAGCAGCAGTGTCGAACTGTCAGGGTAGGTGAGGGGCTAATGGAGGAGACACAGGAGCTATGGAAAGCAGCTGGATCTATTTGTGAGGAATAGATGGGTTACTGAGAGGAACTAAGGAGAGAAAGCAGGAGCTGTGGAGAGGGAGCAGGAATGATGGGGAGCAGAAACCACTGGGGACAGGAGATAGGAAGTGAGCTAAGAGGGGACATGAGCTAAGGGAGGAGTAGGAGTTTCTGTGTGGGAAATGATCTAGTGGGAGACCAGAATAGGGGGGAATGGGGCTAATGTCATTGTGCAGTTACGCTGCCAGGTTCACTCCAATAACCCACAGACTCCATCCTGCCCATGAACTGTGATCACTTGGTTATCCTTGGCTCTCCACAAAGCTGCTTCTGAGGTCCTCCCCCATCTTCTGAGTGATGTAAGAAATAAAGTCCTGCCTCCCCAAACCTGTTCCTGCTGCTTTAGCAGGGCCGGCTCCAAGTTTTTTGCCGCCCCAAACAAAAAAATTTTCACACACCCTCCGGCCCCGCCCCAACTCTGCCCCTTCCCTGCCCCATTCCAACCCCTTCCCCAAATCCCCGGCCCCGCCTCCTCCCCGTGGCGTGCTGCATTTCCCCTCCTACCCCTCCCTCCCAGGCTTGCCTGGGAGGGAGGGGGGAGAAGCGGAGCGGTGATGCGCTCAGGGAGGAGGTGGAGGTGGAGCGGAGGTGAGCTGGGGGGGGAAGCGGTTACTGCCTCCCCCCAGGGTTACTTCCTGCGGCCCTCCCCACACCCCCTACCGCCGCAGCTCACCTCCACTCCGCCTGCTCCCCTGAGCATGCTGCTGCCGCTCCACTTCTCCCCCCTCCCTCCCACGCTTGCCGCAAAACAGCTGATTTTGCAGCGGCGCGCTCAGGCGAGGAGGTGGAGCAGAGGTGAGCTGGGGGGGGAGTTGGTTCCTCTGCCCCCCCTGGGTTACTTCCTGCGGCCCTCCCCGCGCTCCCCACCGCCGCAGCTCACCTCCATTCAGGGCCGGCTCCCGGCTTTTTGCACCCCAAGCAAAAAACAAACAAACAAAAAAAGGGGGCCGGAGTGCCGCCCCTTGGAAAGTGCCACCCCAAGCACATGCTTGGAGCGCTGATGCCTAGAGCCGGCCCTGTGCTTTAGGGGTAACCTTGTAAGGGGAATCTGGTGTCAAACCAATGCCTTTCACAAGCACTAATGCCACAATTTTTATTGAAGTTTTACATAAAACAATTTACATAAAATCACAGAGCTTCACAACACTTGAGAGCTATGCTCTTGTCATGGCATGGCCACAAGGCCAGAGTTTGATGTTTTTTTATGGTGTATTATTCTCCTCCAACAGCTGTTAGAGCTATTCTGCTTGCCCTGCAGATGGCTGCTGGATTTCCTTCCCCTATGCCAGTTGTCTGCTCTGTGCTTCTCACTGCAACACACACCTGAGCCAGAGAGTGGAGTAACCAGAAGAAAGTCAGGAAGGAGAAGTGACATCAGGCTGCACCCTCATGGTCCTCTCCAACTCAACCCACACTGTCAGGATCCACCTTACCTCATTAGTAACAGATTGTTATTAATAGTTATTTGTATTACAGTGGAGCTTAAGGCTACTGTCAGGATTGGGGCCTCATTGCACTAAGTGCTGTATGAACATGTAAGAAGAAACAGTTCCTGCCCCAAAGAGCTTACAGTCTAGACAAAAGAGAGATGTAGGGAGGGGGAAATGGGATGCAGCATACAAGCAAAATGGTCAGAGTGAATATAAGCATGCAGTAATTAATAGCTGGAAGGAAAATTACTAACTGTGACAAATAAGAAGTTGCATATTATTATTTGTTTCTGGTAGTGCCCACATCATGCTAGATGCTGTATGAGCGCAAAAGAAGGCTAGGCCCCTGCCTCCAAAAAGCCTATTTCCCCCTCCAAATTAAATTTGTTGTTTTTTTTTGTTTTTTTTCCCATAGATAAAGAACAGCAAACATCTGAACTAGGTATGTCAACAACTTTAATATGTATATCTCCACTTTCCAATGGGCCACCCCTTTCTTTCTCATTGCTGGGTTTATTTTACCATTGCTAGTTTTGAAGACCAGATATTATATTGCATGCCCACAATGGCCTGAAAAGAACTGCATCTATAAAGGAAATTTTAAAGGACTTTTTAAGCGCAAACCTTAATATTATTGTTGTATATTCATCTGACTAATAATAATGCATTGTGCTATTAGTAGTTAGTATCCACTGAAGTACTATTGATTTATTTTTATTTTAATAATAACTTCAATATCTTTCAGAGTGGAAATAAATGTGTTAGTCTCTAAGGTGCCACAATGACTCCTCATTGTTTTTTCAATATCTTTTTTTCTCACTAAGTACCTTAATTCCAATGATAATGTTACTCCTTGTAAACCAAGACTGGGGTTAAGAATGGGAGAGTGTGGTGAGTGGCTAGGAGAGACAAAACAAAGGAAAACTTTACAATTACTTTACAAACGTACTTTTTGGTTTTGTGACTAGCAATAGTTATTAGTGTGTTTTCCCCCCGCTATATGATGTTTTTTCATTTAACTCCTTAAAGAGAACTTTTTGCTGAGGTTTTACGGTACTCAGATGCCTTAAGCAAAGGTTCTTGAGTTTTTTTCATAGTGTGGACCACCTTTTAACAAAGGAATTGTTTCATGGAACCTCTCCCCCCCACAATTACATAACATCTCTGTGGCTACTACAGCAGTTGCTGATACAGAAATAAACAAGGGTTTTACATATTGTAGTTGTCTTATCAGGCTGAAGTGAGGAAGAGGAGCCAACAATATGTGACTAGCCAGCTCCCTGTGGTCCAACAGCTGGGAATCTCTGCCTTGTATTGTAAACCTTCTGTAAATGTATCAGAGGGGTAGCCGTGTTAGTCTGAATCTGTAAAAAGCAACAGAGGGTCCTGTGGCACCTTTGAGACTAACAGAAGTATTGCAAGCATCTGAAGAAGTGAGGTTCTTACCCACGAAAGCTTATGCTCCCAATACTTCTGTTAGTCTCAAAGGTGCCACAGGACCCTCTGTTGCTTCTGTAAATGGTTACATTCAGGAATTTATTGATTTGGCTAGACTTCTTGTTGAAAAGACAAACACTCAGTCAAAATTATACCATTTCATTACATGACCTGAATTTTTGGCTTTTAAAGACACATCTATTGTGATGGATTTTGGGGGGTCAGATCACATGAGGTGGTACTAAGCACCCTCAACTCCCAGCATTTCACAAGAGGGATAAATACCAGGGAGGGAGAGGAGTTATTTAAGTTAAGGGCCAATGTTGACACAAAAATAAATGGATATAAACTGGCCATCAACAAGTTTAGGTTTGATATTAGATGAAGGTTTCTAACTATCAGAGGAGTGAAGTTCTGGAACAGCCTTCCAAGGGGAGCACTGGGGGCAAAAAACCTAACTGGCTTCAAGACTGAGTTTGATAAATTTGTAGAGGGTTCCAGTGATAAGACTGCCTACACTGGCATGTAGCCTATCTGTGACTGCTAGCAGCAAATAGCCCCAACGCCTGATGACGAGGCACTACATTGGGAGGGCTCTGAGTTACTTCAGAGAATTCTTTCCTAGGTGTCTGGCCGCTGGGTCTTGCCAAAATGCTCAGGGTCCAACTGACCAGCATATCTGGGGTCCGGAAGAAATTTTTCCTTAGGTCAGATTGGCAGAAATCCTGTTTTGTTTTAGCAAAAACAACAAGGAGCCCTTGTGGCACCTTATAGACTAACATATTTATTTGGGCATAAGCTTTCGTGAGCTAGAACCCACTTCATCAGATGCATGGAGTGGAAAATACAGTAGCAGGTATAAATACTGAAATAGCCTGTTCTTATTTGACTAACAGCCCAAGAAGTTCAGATAATCATAGTACTAACACCTGAATACAGGCTGCTTATCTGAACCAAATCCAAAGGTAAAATTTTCAAGCTTCCCGTATCACTGTGATACCTTACTGCTCAAGGAATTAATCATAGACTCACAGACTTTAAGGCCAGAAGGGACCATTATGATCATCTAGTCTGACACACTGCACATTGCAGGCCACAGAACCTCATCCACCCACTCCTGTAATAAACCCCTAACCTCTGACTGAGTTATTGAAGTCCTCAAATCATGATTTAAAGATTTAAAGTTACAGAGACTCCATCATTTACACTAGTTTAAATCTGCAAGTGGTCCATGCCCATGCTGCAGAAGATGGCAAAAACAACAAAACCCAAGTTTTTGAATCAAATCATTTGTATTCCAAACATTTTCCAAGGCAGGTCAAAAAGTTTGGAGCTCTGTGAGTGTCTTCATATAAAACATAGACCTATTGTTTGGGAAAATGTTTCTAAACTTAGTGCTGTCCTTCATGAAGTTCAACAGACACTTAGAGGAGATTAGGGGTTAGTTGTCCTAAGCTGATTTGCTACTTTCTGTGCTCATCAAGATTTTTTTTTTAATTTTGCACTTTCATTTTTGAAGATTGAGATTTCACTGTATTATATAAGTGTTCTCTCTTGTGTCATTATATCCTGCCAAAGGATGTATTTGTTTGTTCCCTTTCTTGATGATTCACAGTAACTGATGCTATGTGTTTGCTTATTCAGAGATAGGGCTCAGCATTTTCTTTGGGATACTCCTTATTATTGTCATCATTGTTTGTTGCTGTAGGTGGAAAAAGTCAAGAGTAAGTGTAAACTTTTTTATATTTATTATTCTTATAGTTTTGTTATTATATTATTCTTATTTTTTAATTTCTTCAGTGATCTCTCAGATTTGCAGTGATCGTTTAATGGGGTTTCACCCACTGCTTGATCTCCCTGTGAGAGTCTGCCAGTGGATGACATCCTTAATCCTTTTAGGATATACATATTTTCCTGATACCTTGATTATACTCCAGTCCTGGCCAATGCCAGCCTCTTCTGGAGTAATGCTGGTCCCCAGTTTGCAATGCTATCCCTTTCTGAGATACTTTTCTGTCACCAGGGGGTTCTGCACCAGCAAAGGACAGTCCATCTGAAAATGTCACTGACCCTAAGTGAACATAGCCTATCCAGTTTCGATTGTGCTCTATAATTGACTGAGGACTATAGGCAAGACGCATGGAAAGTTAATAATATGTTGGCACATTAATATTTCAAGCCATTTATCTGTAACCTTAATATTAAAAAATAAATTAATGCTTACTGAAATGTTAAAGCGTGAACAATTTTAACATGCAATGATATGACTGAAACTGATCAGTATGAGGAAAATAGATTGCAGAGATTAAAAATAAGACCAACAGATCTTTTATTATTATTTATTATAATAATATTTCCATTTGGTTTCTACAGCTTGAATGTGTACAGCAGTGATGTTAACATATTTCTATTTTCTGTATAGAAAAGCTCATTTGACTTGAACTCAATAGAAGCAACTATTCCCTTAAATACCATTGAAACAAAAGAACCAAGCTCAGGTAGAGTATCCTTGGTTTTGTTCTGTTCTTTTAAATGGCCACTAAAATGGAGGGTTTAGGAGAGTACTCTTTATGATTGGGCATATACAATCTACTTGCGGCTTTACTCTCACTCTGTGAACCTACATACTAGAGCTGTGTGCTTCACAGGAATCCATGCCAACATTTTCTTCAGTTTCAACCAATATAGTTTCACACTCCAAAAGTATCATTTTGAAAAAAAACCCTCAATCTCCAAACAAGACTCAATCAAAGCCATTTGCTACAGCGTTAGAACCATGCAATACCATGACCTGTGGGACTCAGCTTCACTTCTGAACCCTGGTTTATGGTCCTTATTTTTTATTTGACTATATTATACACTACAGTGGGGTGTGTTAACCATTTTATTCTTAATTCATGTGAATTTTTACTGTTTCCTGTTTTTCTTTGTATCATTTTCAGATGGGGAGAAGAAATGAAAGCACTCTCACTTAATAGCCATTCAAGAAGATCTCACAAAAAGAACTAATATGGCTGAATCACCAGAGAAATTAAAATGGATTGAAATTCAAAGAGATCCACTGGCACTCTCAATAGTGTAAACTTCTTTTTAAATGGCACATTTTGGAGTGTTCTTGAATCTAGTCATAGTAATAAGCAGATATTCATTGGTGCTGGCTGCTACAAATCTTTATTCATTGCCTGTTACTTTTTGGTTGTGGAAAAAAGCTCGCCTTACTTTAATATAGTTATCTATGGGCCACATTCCACCATTTAGGCACAAATCTGCATCAGCATATGAGGAACTGGGGGAGGCATAATCCCTCTCCCAGCTCTCCAGCATTCAGAAGAAACATGCCATGGCCCTTCCTCTTCCTGCCCCAGCCTGCTTCCTTTAGAGGATTGTGGCCTTTAGGGTGCACAGCAGGAAGGAGTCACGGAGGCAGGCAGTCTTTGTGCTTCCCTGAGTATAGGGACTGGGGTCTTTCCGGGCCCTTATGTGGAGCTCCTAAGAAGTGAGGGGAAAACTATTTATGCCTCCTGCTCCCACCAATTCATCCGTCCAAAAGCCTGTGAAAATCTAGCCCTTAATTCTTTGTACATAGCTTGTTTTATAATAAATGACCTAAGTAAAAGTGAGTCTCAGCACAGTGTATTTCTATTAAATGCAAAAATGTTACTGATGCACTGTTAAGATTGAAATGTTATGCTCACTAAAATCAGAAAATGTAGAGTTAAGGGACCAGAGCCTCAGCTGGTGCAAACTGACAGCTTCCTTGGCTTCCTTGGAGCCATATTGATTGACACCAACTGAAGATCTGGTCCCAGGTTTCCAGAGACACTTTTGCACAGTAGGGTTTTTTATCATCTAATCATAACACGTATATATGCAATAACACAAAATGTTGTATTTGTTCATAGAGTGTTATAAAAGAATGTGTAGTTTTAACATGGAAGCCTACAATCCTGTATACCATGTTTACAGTTTTACAAACACAATGTAAGAACACAATGCAGCTTATTTCCTTGGTATGAAGTTATTTGCTAAATAGTGTTATTTCAATCAGGGTTGTATGATCCTAGACAGAATAACCCTTTTCAAATATATGGGCCTGTCTGCTTCTCCTCTCACACCTGTATAAATCAAGAATTTCTCCACCGGAGCTAATGAAGATTCACGTGTGCAAAAACTAGTATAAATGCATAATCAGGCCCCTAAATGTGCAAGCTTTAAATTGGGAACTCTTTAGAGTAGAATTGTGGTTTTCTTTTATCTCATTCAGCCCCTGTGCTTAAAAATAGCAATAATCAATAAAAAGGTGACAGTTAAGGTTGGGAATCTTGCATTTCCTGAATTTCATAGTACAATCTAAGGGCCTTGTTCCACTACCCTACTCTGAGTGGGTAGCACTTATTTACTTACTGATGTCAATGGAACGACTCATGTGAGTAAGTACTATGCAATGTGAGTGCAGAATCCAGCACTTAGTAGTCGCATACTTTAGTCTCAGTATACTATGTAAAGTTGGCATATTAATAAAGTGGCAAGGTGAGGCAGCATGACCCAATGGGTATGGTACTAACCCAGCATTTGGGAGAGCTGGATTCAATTCCCTGTTCTACTACAGACTTCCTGGGTGGCCTATAGTCAAGCTAGTTAGCCTCTCTAGGCCTCAGTTCCCCTTATATAAAACAGGAATAATAGCAATTCCTTATCTCACAAGGATGTTGTGAGGATAAATACATTAAAGATTGAGGTGCTCATGTAACAGGTGCTTTTACAAGTACCCTACCCAGAAAATCTAATAGGTTTTGGCGTGTTTCCAAATCTGCTCAGGCATGATATCTTCCTTCTTAATAATAATATGGACTTGAGTTATATCAGCCTTCAACCAGTAATCGACATTCTATGAGGATGCAAAATCTAAAGCATGAGGGGAAGAGAAGATGAAACCTAATTCAGCACCATTGAGGGCAAAGGGAATTTTACTATTGACTTCAGTGGATCAGGATAAGACTGATAACACAGACGGGTAATTGAAAATGTAGGCCACTTTTTTTCCTATGTGCTTAACGAATGGGAACTAAAATCTTCCTTTTGTGTAAACATGATCTGAGTTAAGGATGAGCTCATTACAAGAATTCTGTTTCATGCCAGTCTTACTAAGAATTGCAATTATAATTACATTTTCATTTCCACAAAAAGAATAATAAACTCTGAATTTTGGAAGAGCAATCTATCATTTTGTTTTGCTTGATATAGACATAGTCTGCAGATTTCAGGGTATTTTGTTAAAGAAATGTCATAGTTAATTTGGATTAATTGAAAGTTAAGCATATGCTTAAGTGCTTTACTAGATTTTATTGCCCTGTATTGTCCTATAGAGCTGGTGGAACGTTGCAGAAGCAGCTCACAGAATATTCCAATTCAAGGCAATGGGATTACTCTATATAAATTAAGCATATGCATCAGTGAACATGGATTTAGTGGTGTACTGTGCTTTGGCTGCACTGTCAAAAAAGTACAATGCACTTTCCCTGTACCTTTGAATCAGAGTAGAAATCTATGATAGGCCTTTCTCAGCAATATCAAGGAATATTTTCATTACCGCCTTACAGTCAATGGACAAATACTGCACATTTATGTTTGTTTTTTATTCTAATCAAAATCTCACTATACTTTATGCTGCATTTGAAAGAAAATACTAGACAGTGCTGTAGTTTGCTAATAATCTGTATAAGTATAGTTCAAATCCGCATTCTGAAAAAAGCCTTGGGGCCAAAGATTCTATGTCAGGTACTGACTATGGTCCAGATGTCTATTCATGCATATTAGCTAACAGGGCCGGCTCCAGGCACCAGCTCAGCAAGCGAGTGCTTGGGGCGGCCAAGGGGAAGGGGCGGCACGTTGGGCTCTTCGGCGGCAGGTCCCTTGGTCCCTCTCGGAGGGAAGGATCTGCCGCCGAATTGCCGCCGAAGAAGAAAGCTGCGTGGTGGAGCTGCCGCCGATCGCAATCGTGGCTTTTTTTTTTTCCCCGCCGCTTGGGGCGGCCAAAACCCTGGAGCCGGCCCTGTTAGCTAATATTACTAATCACATATGTCTGTTAACAAAAGTGAAGAAATGTTTTTAAAACTTCTTTTTGCTGGTGCCAATATGACTTAAGGAATGAAAATGTATCCAAGAAGGTAGTGCAAGAAATATATATACTACATAAGTAATAATGTTGGGGATTTTACATTTGTGATTATATTTCACATGATTTAAAAATTGCACTATACTCAGCTATGATGCTATGGAAATTATAAATAATAATTTAAAATAGCTGTATTAAAGCACTCCTCTATATTAGTTTAAAATGCCTTTGGGGGAGAAGAAGCTAAAACAATTATACATCTTACAGTGATATCACTATAAATGCCTTCTAACAGAAGTTGATGTCAATAGAAGTACTATGCATTGTGGTATGCATTGTGGTACTTCCATTGACAGGCTAAGAAGATCGGTGGGTCCTTTGGACACATTGATAATGTCAGGGAATCACAACATTGTTATGGGGTGAAATCCTGGCCCCACTGAAATCAATAGACTTTTGCCATTGGCTCCAATGGGGCCAGAATGCCACCCTTGCTCCACTTTGCGATATCTGTGTACAGCAAAATTCTTTGGCATGACTGCCCTCATATAACTGGCTTCACTAAAGTTGAGGTGGCGTGGAGTGCAACAAAGACACATCAAAAGGTAGACAAAAGAAAATAACAGGGACTGACTCTTGATAAAGTATGTGGTCGGATCAGACAATGGACTGGTACATAGCCATCATTTTATTTTAAATACACAGTGTACTTCTCTTTGTGTAGGAGTATATCATAGTACATGGTACTGTGCTTTGAGGGAGCAATGCTTTTTTATGCAAAGTCATCCTCCAGTCTGTTAACGTTCACTTTATCAGGTTCACTTCTCTTTTCCTTTCCCTTCATGCCCTCTTGAACATGCCAGCTGCAGACTCACCACTGCCCAACTGTCAAAAGCAGCCTAACACTATGGAAAAAAAGGAGTCTTGTGGATGGGAAGTAGTGAGGAGTGGGTGAAGGGGAATTTCAGGGCTCAGAGGATTAGTAATTGCAGATGTTAATTTATTTGTTTAGACTGGCAGTGGGTGAAAGTCTCTGCCACGCTATCACAAGACCGTTCAGGCCTGTATGAAATGAGTTTCTCTTCCTCCAGTTCCTAGTGGATGATTGTCACAAAACAGCAACAGAACTGGAATTGGTTGGCTCTCCCTGCAGGCAGGGGTGCAGGAACAATTTGTATAGTGAGGGTGCTGGGAGCCATTTAACCAAACTGTAAACCTTGTATATAATGGAAACCACTTCAAGCCAGGGGGTGCAGCAGCACCCCTAGTTCCAGCACCTGTGCCTGCCGAGAGGCTGACTATCAAATAAGCGTGGAAATTACAATAGCTTCTTGCCGCACTGAAGTTCTTCTTAGAAAGAGTTAACACACAACAGTGGGATAGTGTGAGACAAATTTGACTTGCTTTTTTGCTAGAAGCCATCTGCAATCAAGGAGTACACATGTTCTTTTGATACAGAATTTCATCAATAGGCATTGATAAGAGAATGTTGGACATCTTCTATTGAGAGAAGATTCAGTACCTTAGGATTTCAGTCTGGTTACCTTTCAAGTGCACTGAATTCACTTCCAGCCAAATTCTGTTCTCAGCTCCCCCAGTTTAAATTGGGAGTTACCCCTATTGAAGTCAATGGCCTTGGATAACCACTCTTTCCAAGATGCGTGCCAATGTAGTGACAAGGGGAGGATACAGGGAGCTGTGGCTCTCAGATGCAGTCCTCCCAGCCCGAGCACAAGAGCAAGAAGTGTCCTACTTTAACTTAGCCTGCTGGTGTAAGGTCCCTATGCAGAGCTCATGCCCACACCTTTCCCTCAGCCCTCCTGCTTTTCCCGCTTATGCTGGTGTGGGAAGGGTGTCTTGCATGGGAGGCAGCACAGCTCTATGCCAGCAGCGATTCTCCTTCACACTGGAATTCCACTGGAAATGGCCTTAGTGGACCAGGTAATCTGGGCCAATTTCAGTGGAAATTACTCCAGATTTACACCAGATGTGCCAGAGAGCAGAGTTTAGTGCTTGAAACAAAGCAGAAAAATTAGTATGTGATTCCACCATTTAAATTCTTCATCAGGCTCAGTCTGGGGTTTTGGGGCTACAGTCAGCAGATGAACCAGATGTAATATAGCTGGAGCAAGTGGATGTACAGATGCTGTCTCAATGGGGGGAAAAAACACCTTTTCATTTCACATACTCTGATGGGAATTTCCGCAATCATATGTCTGATTACACTAATTTACTGAGAAGGTGGCTCTGTGACCAACTGTCTCAACTCCTACTGGCTGTATTGAGGTCCATGTGTTTTGTGCTGTCTTGACCAGGCCCTGTATGCGCCGTGGCAAGCTGCACCACCATGGGAAGCATGCTGCGTCAGGGACAGGCCTCTGCAGCAAAATCTGCTTTCAGACCTCCATAACAAATACCACATCAGCTCTGGAATGCTGCTTTCCCTATGTTCCCTTCAGAGATTGATGTCAGTGAAGAAGATGAAAGATGAGAAGAATACTGGAGTCCAGACCCACTATGCAGATCTGAAAGCAGAGCTTTGCTCAAACACTGGCAAATAATGGGTTCTGAGGAAAGTCAGCAGTGGGCATGTGATCTGTAACTTAACGAAGTGTTTCTTGTGGTGCTGCTTTAGGGAGGCATGCCATTCATTTCAGGAATATTACAGGATTTTATCCTGCTGCTGACATGAAGAGGTGTTTAATAGTAGCTCTAGCGGCATGCTCCTTCAGAGATTCCCAACTAGGTTCAAGTCCTGTGCAACATAAGTAAGAGGAAGTTATTTCCTTCCTCCCCCCTCCACACACACACATTGGTGGTGGTGCTCGGTGGCAGCACGTCATCACTGCCTCACATTTCTTTTCCTGAATAAATATTTCTCTCTGAATTAAATTTTGATTAGTGGTGTGGATGAGATGAAGCATGGTAGAAAGAAAGGGCTCCTTGGGTTGAAATAACTCACTGTATGTATGTTTAGCCACGGTTTTGTGAACGTCTGGAACAGTTCGATATTGCTGAGCACACAGGTATAGTGTCTGAGATGAGGATGGAGCCCTCCATCGTAACCGAATGAGCAGATTGCATTTTCAACAATGTCTCCTTTAGCTATATTGTAAGTGAAGCAGATTTAGACCTGGTCATTACACAGATGTGAGACCTCCAAGAACCATCCAGGTGCGGTAAGAAGTTAGATCGGGGTAGGCAACCTATGGCACACGTGCCAAAGGCAGCACACGAGCTGATTTTCAGTGGCACTCACACTGCCCAGGTCCTGGCCACCGGTCTGGGGGGGCTCTGTATTTTAATTTAATTTTAAATGAAGCTTCTTAAACATTTAAAAACCTTATTTACTTTACATACAATAGTTTAGTTATATATTATAGACTTATAGAAAGAGACCTTCTCAAAAAAATTCAGATGTATTACTGGCATGCGAAACCTTAAATTAGAGTGAATAAATGAAGACTCGGCACACCACTTCTGAAAGGTTGCCGACCCCTGAGTTAGATCAACAGGATTCCTCCAAGGCCGAGATTGTGGCTTGAGGCATAGCTATGAGCAAGGGGAAATGAGGAAGAATAGCCCCAAGAGTAGCCCTAGGAAGCATTGTGCCACAGATATGCCCCTATGAGTCACTCATAATTTCCTCCAGCTTCCCCCTTGCTCTGATGAGGAAGTAGTAATTTGCTGCTGGCCTATACCTATGACACCCACCATTCCGGCACAGCTGTGCTAGCCAGTGCATTGTGGCAGAGCCAAGCCTCCAGCCACTCCCTGCAACTCCCTGCCCACCTGCTCCAGGGACAAGTGGACACGCTTCACCCATTCACTATTGCACACCTAGATTCAAGGGGTGGAAGAAGGGGTGTATAGTCCAGAGGGAAATTTTACCCCAAGTCACTATCTAGCGTTTATAATGTAAAGTCTGTGGGGCAAGGACCTTGAGTTCTTACTTGCCTCTAAAACACCAGAGCACTGCAGAGTTAGTAAAACTATCACATTTCAATATCTCTTTTGTGTCTCATGGTAAATCAAGAGTGCCACATCATTCATTTTTAAATAAATGAGAGCATGTTTCTAATCCGTCAAAAGAAACAGCATA